CTAGTGGTTAGGTTGTGTATCAACTTTTTAAAATTTCATGTTTTAAAATCCCTGATGTATACGCACTGTTTGGTACCCAAGTCTCCGCCAGACAACCTGAGCTGCCGGCTACTCTGAGACACTGCTTACTCTTTCATTCTGTTTTATCATTACCTGGGCTACAGAACCTGTGGAAACCACTGCTTCGCAAACTGCACTCTTTGTCACCCTCTCATTTAAGAAGTTACTGAAACCAAGTTAAAAGAAAACTAGAGAAGCAGTTTTAAGAATCAAGGAATCCGAAAACAGGATGAGAGGCTATGAGTTTTATTTCTGTAGCATTTCACATTGGCAAATTCAGAACTAGAACTGCAAGTTTCCTTAATACATTTTCTTTGTACCCACGCGCGAAACACCTTGGTCACAGTTACCTCCGTCCCTTGGTCTGTTTCCCTTTAGTCACTGATCCTCACACTTTCTTGAGGCCTCTGACCGTCACGAACACTATTCTTCCTGGCTTCCAACGGTGTCAAATCCTCAAAACACCAGTTGTTTCAGTGACAGTAACCTTGGCAGCTGGCCTGAGTTGATGGAGCAGACCCAGGAAAAGATTCTGGGGAATAGATAGACCGAAGCTCCTTTTCTCTCCACTGAATATCCACTTAATCCTCGATGGCCAGGATAACGTCTGAAAGGAACTAACCAAGCCCTCTAAGGCCCTCCCTGACAATTACATTTGGCGTGCACAGATGGCACAGGTTTGGGGCCAAGAGCTCTGCCCTGAAATGCTCTCTGCTGTCTTTTTTTATTCCGATCACTATCCCTTGCTGGCCACTGTACTCTCCCGAAATTCCTTCTCTTCTTTTCTTACCACTGTGGCCCGTGGCCTGACCCTCACAAGTAAAAGCGTCTGGAGAATCCCCGAAAGCTCAAAACATATTCCAAGGTCGATGGCGGTGGATTAAGCCCTATCTAAGGCACAAGGGAGACCTGGGACTCTCACGCTTTGCGACTGGTACCAAGCACTTTCCTGACAGGAGGCAGTCACTCTGCAGCACTTAAATACTTGAGCTCCACCCTCTTCGAGGCCCCTTTTTCTTACACAACACACGCCACGCAGGCCAAGCGCTTCACATTTCCGTTCAGGTCTGTCCTGGTTCACTGGCCTTCCTGGAAAGTGGAGCTATTCCCACTTCTCATTGCCTTTGACCTGTGAGCCTTCCTAATTCCCCCTGGAGAGGCAGTCTTCTGCGCATGGCCCATCCGCCCCCTTTCCATATGAGAATGACAGAAACTGCATTACGGAGCAGGGGTATCTCTGATCTCAGCCGATGCAATGTTAGACTGATTGATCAAAGTTAACCCCAAGCCTTATCTCCCCTTGCATCCATCCACCTTTCTGTCACCTTCTGATGTTCGGAACAGAACTTAGTGTCCTTGTAAATACTGAATGGGAAGATACTGCAGAGCGCACAGAACAGTGGCATCGTGAGTGACGCGATTTAACTACTCAGTATGTAGATTTGCACACCGAAGTATGTCGTAGAATGCTGCTCTCTGCAGCAGATTTTAACATGAGCCAATGGAAACAGCACCCACTAAAATCAAAAGGAAACAGAGATTCAACTAATTAAATGCTATGCTTCATACATAATTTAGAAAATGAGAGGGAGACAAGAGATCAAGAAGGAAATGAAAGAAAACTAAGTCAATCTTTCTAAATTTTCGTTGGAAAAGTGGAGAGGAGTCTTAGCTATCTTGGTGCAAACTATGTATTCCACTTGGAGAGCGAGTGGAAAACATGGCATCAGGCTATTTGTCAAGAAAGACTTGAAGGATGCAGAAAAGGGCAAAGCAGAATTACTGACAACAGCTAAGGAAGTATAAACAACTTCAGACGATGAATGAGAAACAGAGCGTACAGCAATGTAACTAAAAATTTAAATCTGGCCTGCATTTCCAGCTCATCCCTGAAGCCCAGAGAATAACACACAGCACTGTGTGGCAATATCAGATTTTACCTGTACTTTCTCAGAATAAAAGAAATAGTGAGATGGCAAGTTAACCACAGCACAGAGTCATGGGAAGAAGAGCAGAACTCTCTCGAGACCATTCCCAGCACGCAGGGATCACTCACGGAGGAAGCAGGCTTGGGTGGTGCCATTTGTACACTGCACATGGAGGTCGCAGACACCACTTCTGCCACAGGAGCCGTGGCGGCAGCCTGAGATTTCTGGAGAAAGAGGCCGATACTGTGAATAACTTCAGAAATACCTGGTTAGTAAGACAATACTGACACACCAACAAGATGCTCTGAGATCATACATTATGAGCGCGAGTCTCTTGAACGCCTAAAGATTGTCAAGGCGTGTTAATACTGTTCAGCTACCACTGCTTACAGCTGGAGACTCATTTTGTCTCTGCAAGTGCAAAAATCAGAACAGTGATGACACCGTGATCTCTAGGGTTGATGCAAGGCTTAAGTGAGATAACACTTGATGTGCTATGCACAGAACCTGGGAACACAGTAAATTCCATAAATGTGAGACATTATTGCTATTATTTTAGTTATATTATTTCTTTGTCTTACTATATAGAAGTAAAATATACCTTTTACATAATATAATACTACATCAATATTTATGTAAGTCTAAGAGCACACTGCAAGTGATGAGCAACTATGTATGAATGGCTTCACAGTTTTCTTCCAGATGTTCCCAGCGCGGTCCTGGACTGACAGCCTCCGACAGTATCAGGGAACCTGCTAGACACAGACTCTCGGGTGCCCATCCATGTAATAAAGCAGAAATTCTGGGGGTAGGACCCCGCGAAATGTGTTTTAATAAACCTTCCAGGTGATCCTAATGCAAGCTAAAGTTGGAGAACTACTGTACCATCTTATTGAAGACGTCAAAATTGACACTTTGAAATTCAGTGATTTACAAAAACCTATCCTATTTGCAAGGTGCTCAGCGGACGACCAATAGGATGTGATCTTCTCTGCCAAAGAACTCACTGCCTATTTAATGCTACAAATTAAGATTAGAAATGAAAGACCAAGGAAAACTAAAACTTGCTTCAAATGCTCTAAAAGAGATACATAAAAATACCCGCAGACCACGTGCCACGTGGCATTCCTCTTCATACAGGTTGGAAGGGTGGTGTAGCTAAGGGAGGGAAAGGCAGGAGATACAGAAAGGCCATATTTCAACAGAACCTTACAGGAACGAGTAAGACTTCAGCTGCCCTAGAGTTAGGAGGAAAGGTTACGCCAGGCAGAGGAACTGGATTAGGAAAGTTTTGACAATAACCACCCTTAACGTTAAGTGAAGCAGGCACACGGCTTGGTTGGAACTGAAGCTGGGCCTAGAACGCAACTTTAGAACTTTTCTTCTGCAGGGAACGGGAAGCTCCCGGGTCGGGTGGAGGAATGATGTGATCACAAACAGGCTTGAGAAAGAAGAACTCGGGTGAGCAAGGAGGATTGGGTGGGGGCTGAAGAAAGACCACCGAGCTCCTTAGGTGAGAGGGGATGGCAGCTTCAGTGAGGTCTGTGACAGAAGCAGAAACAGAAAGCAAAGCGTGGATGTGAGGCCTTCCCTGAAGGAATAACTGCAGGACTCACATTGCAAGAATATCAGGATTAACTTGGGGCAAGAAAACACATCTAGAAAAAGATAAGGCAAAAACTTCACATCTAAAAGACGGCATAAAGGGCTTCTTAACTAACAACTCCATGCTAAAATAGTTTTGGTTTCACATATTTAAGATTTAAAAAAAAACATAAAAACCTCTCAAAACCAGATCCATATTTTCAGAAACATACTTCTGTTTTTCCAGTTGGCTTAGATTGTTTTTCTTTGCATTTAGACCGGTTGAAATCTTCTGAAAGTTCATCAATGAGTTCTGATTCACTCAGGGTCTATAATATAAGAAACACTGTATATTATGAAGTGACCATTTTTACTTTATAAAAACATGTGTCCCTAGGGCAATATTTTTCCTGTTTAACATGTATTGGGCCATATTTAAAAATCTAAAACCAAAATCTAATTTATACAGGCATATTTTTCATTTATCAATGCAAGGTGAAAATGTCATGAAGTAAGGAAGACCAAATACACCAGTACTACAAAAATCTTTAATGGCTTATTTAGGCAAAAGTTGTCTTGATATTTCAACTACCAGAAGAATTTAATTCAAATCAAATTGTGTGTTATGTCACTTGTCTTCTTCTTAATAATTTCCTTTCTTAATAAGTCAGAAAAAACACAGACCATACATTCTTTTCTGATGTTCATGTGGGTTTCTGGTGGGAAAATTCTATATTCCTAGATCTTTCAGGGAAAGTGGTACTTTCAGTTTAGGGCTATGAGTGGACGGAATTCTACAAACTAAATGCTAACAATCTAATCAAAGAGTCCTCTGAGGGTCAGCTCCTACGCTCAATGAATGTTTCCTTACAGTTCATACCAAAATAATCATTAGACTATATGGAAAGGGTCCACATTTATCAGCCAAATGTCACTAGCAAAAATTTTCCTCTTTAACATTAGGTCGGCAGGTAGGTCTCCACAGTGAAATCTGGTCTGTCAAAAGTATCTTAATTTATGCTTTGTATTTCTCTTATTTTTCACATATCAGGGGGAAAAACATTTTTTTTCTAACCTTGGGTTTTTCTTCAGGTTTTGGCAATAGTGGTTTTCCATCTTTATCCTGCAAGTAAAATGGAAAATTAATTTGAAATAAAGTAGAGTTTTGCTTTCATCTCTCATTGCAATTGGTTTTGAGAATTGCAGGATATGAGGTATAAGCTTATTTTTTTTCTTATATTTGAGTGAATTTGTGTTTTAGATTTAGTTTTGATAAAGCATTAGAACAATGAGTTGAGGTATGCAAATTAAGAGACCAAATATGATGCATATTTACTTCTCATTAGAAATTAGTCAAGAGCCTGGCGTGGTGTCGCACGCCTGTAATCCCAGCACTTGGGAGGCTGAGGCAGGAGGATCACTGTGAGTTCGAGACCAACCTGGGCTACATAGTAAGTTCCAGGTCAGTCTCAACTACATAGTGATACCCTGTCTCAAAAAACAAAAAACAAACAAACAAACAAAAGAAATTACTCAAGAAACCGAGACAAGTTCACAAGTTTGAGCCCAGCCTGGGTAACAAGTTAGTGAGACTATTTGTCCAGAGCAATATAAATAAAACATGACTAGGGATGAAGTCGGTGTGGAGGTCCTGGATTTAATCCCCAGTATCACCAAAAAAAAAAAAAAAAAAAAAAGTTGTTTCTACCTGTTAGGGCAATAAAATAATAATTTTTGTAAAATATCTTTGGCAAGAAAAGTGTAAGTACAGTAATGGAAAAAAATTTTAAAGTCTTAATTCTCCAACCCAGAGTGAAGAGCTATGTATCATATCATTCCTGTAATAAATATTGCTTTTTTAAGTATGAAGTTTAACAATTTAGAAAATTTCTAAGAATGAGAAATCTTCCTTTGTAGATATAGATGCATCACAGCTATATTATACCATGTACTTTCATGTACTCCCAAAGAGAAATTTCAAATGTAACTATAGTCCACTCTTCTCATCACACATCAAAACAGAGTAGCTACCTCAATCCTGAGGATATGGCTAGATAACTACATTTATAGCTACCATTTTAGAAGACCTATTGTGCTTCTTATTCATATAACAGTCGGAAAAGAAAAAAACAAAACATAATTTCCAAACTGTCCTTAGGCTTTAAGGTAAGGATCAGCATCAAGCATCGCGAGCAGCGAAACACTTGAATTTGTGGGGTTGTCACTGACCACAGAGTCACACTCAGGAAGCCTGGCAAGGACAAACTATCGCATAACAGCAGAGGAGAAGGGGATCAGGGCTTTCAGGGCTGACATCCGAACAAGCACAGACTTGTCCTAAGTGAACAGGTAACAGACAAAACAAAACACGACGCTGCGGCGTGGGAAGGGTGTGCCTGGTCGGCGGAGACTGTACCATGGCTGGTTTTAGTCTGTACTCGGATGGGACTGTTTCGTCATCCTCACCACACTTTTTTAGTCTTTCTTCTTTAGCTTTTGCCTAGTGAAAATGGAGAGAAAATGAAAGAAAGCAGTCGGATGATGCACGTAGAACGAGACGACGTCACTTCCTTTGTGTTTTTACTGAGGACACCAGATTAGATACAAGTATCCAAAAGATCTCCGGGAACTACAAAGCAGAGGACCACAGTGAGCAGCTAGGAGCCAGGCAGCAGAGGGTGACGGTAAAAACGACGCAGCCAGGGATCCTGGGGTGTCCCGCCCCGCTGTCAGGTTCTATGACCTTGGGAAGCCACTGGGTCTTTCTTTGGTCTGTTTTATTCACCTGCAAAATGTGGCTCTAATAATTATCACTGAGCTCACTGACTCCTAAGGCTCACCAGAGAAAAGTAAATACAAGATCCTCAGAGGACAGGAAGCACAGGGTGGAAGTTAGCTGCAATTATTTCAATAGCCTTTATCTGCCTTATTCAATCAGACAGTCATCTAAAGCGCACCACCAACTCTCATGAACCCAGTTCAGAAGCGGGAGAAACATTTCATCACAGATCCTGGCTGATGCACAAACTGGTTACTGAACCACGAACAAGTAATTATTAGAAATAAAAATGTAGTTGTAGAGTACACCACTGACTTATAGGATGTAACTTTTGCAATTTAGTCTACTGGTGAGTAAGGAAATATTCCATGATATGTAATAATCTATCTACAGGAAGCCGTGACTTTAATTCACAAACCAAAGGAGGCAGTTTCCTAACTCAATCCATGGTTTCTATCTAATGTCACTCATGACTGTAGTTCTTCCTTGATTCATTAATTGTTTAGTTTTTAAAATTTATTAAGCACTTCTAATGAGTTCCTACTCTAAGCTCTGGAACTGTAGTTTTATTTTTCTATATAATAGCCCTCATGAAGACGTAAGAGTTTTGGTTGTTTCTTTGAATGGATGCAGTTTTATCCCAGTGCTGCATATTGAGGAAGTTTTATTAGGTAGTATTACCCTGCATTTCAGGGATTTATAAGGTATTAAGCCACAACAGCCTTTATGAACATCAAGGGCCTCACTACACTCAGACTGTGCACAGACAATGAAAGCTGTACACAGCTATATCATTTTTTTTCCTCTTTGATTCGAGTATTTCTAAAATGCCTGACCTATGATTTTTACACTATAGGTACTGGAAAAAAGGTCTACTGAATTGAAATAATACTGGATTATGTAGTTACACCTAAAAATGAGAGGGGATTTACAGTGAGTCACCATTACAGGATAAATATTTATGCTATGATACATTGTAACATAAAAACCCAGCAGGTACGGGCATCATCCTTGGAGTATGATGAAATTTCTACAGACAGCTCTCTGGTGTAAAGAATCTGCCTGAGTTTGGCCCTGGTCTCCTGAGTGAGAGCAAAAATAGGAGTCTTATCATATCGTCAGACCATCTATTCAGATTGTAAAGCCTCGGCGCTGACTATGAATTCAGTTCAACAAGCTAGAGAATTGAAAGATAGTCTCAGGGAATATTTATGCTTTAGATATGATTAAAAGGGAAAACTGGTACACCAGAAGAGCTCTGTTTGCTGGAATTTTAGTTTGCTGCTGCTCCAAGGTTTTCTAGAGGAAACTGAACACAGTTCATATGCACCCCAAACCAGTTACTCACACTGCTTTCTGAGTTATGTCACTTTTTTACATGTACTTATCTGGTTTTAGTCACTGTTAGATTCCTTTTGTCCTGGGATTTGGATTAGGTTTATATCTCCCCTGACTACATTTACTGTCTTTAAAAAAAAAAAAAATCATTCTGTAAAAAGCCTAAGGCAAAATTATAATTTTCTGCTGGCCATGTAGCCCTCAGATGGTAAAATCACAGTTCAACCCAGTCTTGGGAGTTCTGCCAATGCCAGCCCTACATTGAGATGACATGGATTCTATATGGCTACCCTGAGTAACGTACATCACTAATCAACATCTTAGTGTCATAATCATGGTTCCTTTTCTTCCCAATACGTTACTTGGTCCTGAAGGACAGGGACTGCCTCTCCTGCTCCCTGCTGTTCACTGTCACAAAGATTGTGGTGCCACACTGTGGCTGGTAAGCCCTCCAAGAAAGTAGAAGACAGAAACTGGCCCATCTCAGACCAGCACTGTCCCAGACTGTAGAACAATTCCTGGGAGTCAGTGGTGAGAACTGAGAACAGGAAGTGACATCAGAGGCACGGGCATTGTGACAGACACTTGCCAGCTTCTCTACCCTGAGCTGATAGGGCTATTTGTACCTCCTCTAAGACATGGCCTGTTAGGGATAGGTAACTCTTCTCTCCTTCTTCTTTTCTCTCAGAGGATCAAGTTCAAAAATTCTACAAAAACTTTATTTAATATCAAAGCTCTCCCACCGCAGAGGCAAGTTGTGTTGACTCAGAAGGCTTGCGACAGTCTCAGAGGTTGGTGAGATAAACACACATGAGTATCACGCTCTAAAAGTGCAGGAGCTCCAGTTACTGAGTGATTGCTGTTTGATTTCATTCTTTTTAGACAGTTCTTCATCTTTTACCTATGTTGTGTAAGGATTTTCCCAGCCTTTCATAGCCATCTCCCTCCTTATAAAGAGATATGCCCAGAACCCTTCAGAAAATACAAATTAACAATGTCCATGACAGCGAAAAGAACGTGCTCTCTCTCATCAGACCACTGGTTTTGTTATCTTGTTCCGTCAGGGACCATTTAAGCTTTGAAAGAGGAGATTAGTGTTCATTTCAAACGTGAAAACTCTAAGCAATTTAGAAGACAAACACTCGGTATCTCTCCTGGTTGCTAACTACCACAAACAAATATCTAAATTAACCAGCTCTGAAAGTAAGACCAAATGAAAAGTAGTTCATTTCTAATCCCCAAGAAAATACAACCTATGCAAGAATTGTAAACATACACAAAGCATTCCATTTTGTAAGCTGCAGGCTAATAAGCTGCAAAATATCAGCTCCAAGGTCAGTACCTCATCAACTTCCTTAACAGCGCTGAGGTCGAGCTCAGGTTCTGGTTCCCGGGTGCCCAGCGAAGCTGACAGAGCCTCAACTGCTTGATCGCTCATAGCATCCTGTTAAAAATGAGAAATTCTGTGCGTGAAAAAAAGAAAACCTCTCCTGAGCCCACATGATCCATTTCTTCTTGGTTAAATACACATTTTCTGGATAAAAGATGAATTATGGGTTGGGAAAATACTTAGGAAGGCAATTTTACTTGAAACCTAAGCAAAAGAGAGAGAAAGGAAATAGAACTTACCAGTGAGTGGAAATTGTGGCTAGGACACGTTCCTGTGATAAAGGTACCCTCAAGGGGTATCCTTCACCCCTTATTTTGCAAGTTAGAAGACTATAACTCTACTATTTATTATATTACTATAAAATATCCTTATCAAAATAAAGCTGCAAGTAGTGGACTTTCACTGCCCTTTTAAAATGTGTCTCTCAAAGTGGCTCCTGAGCTCAGGAAGGAAACAGCAAAACCTGCAGTGGGCTGGCTGCTGTCTTCTCTGGAGACACAATGGCTCCTGGTGGGAGGAACTCCCACTCTCAGGGTGTGGTGCTCTCTGCTGTCCCCAGTCAGCAAGATAAAAACAAACTACCCATTCAGGGAGAACAGCTGCAGAAACAGCTCTAGTAGAAACCGTCCTTTGCATTATCTTGACTCTCTGCACATGAGAAGTGCTTTCTCAACCAGCCTGGAGTTGCAGAATGGTCTTCAGGACGTAGGAGAATTAAGACAGTTGACTGCGGTTAAGAGAGTAGTCAGAAAAAGCTAGTGATAGCCCTCTAATGATTTACAAGGCTCAAAATCAAGCTTGAGATCTGACAAATGCAATTCTCTCCGTTTCCACCACTCTGTCTTGTAATGGTGAGGTAGACTCAGACCACTACCATGGAAGACTGCTAAAATTATTCACAAGGACTTACAGAAACACATAGGCTTTCCTGGAGAGCAATCAATATAGCCTTATTGGCTGCACTGTTCTCCACAGGTCCCAGGGAGGAAACTTAATCCTCACTGTGTGTGATACTTACTAGGATTATTTTGAATAAGCAAGAGCAGGTTCAGGGAAGCAACTGCAGTCAGGTGGATGACGGTTATTTTCAAAGAAGAAACTATTGGCCAGGCATGGTGACTCATGCCTACCATCCTAATATTTGAGGAGCCTCAGGCAAGAGGACTGAGAGTTCAAGCCCAGCCTGGGCAAATTAGTGACTTAGTGAGTGTGTCAAAATTTTTTAAAAGGCAAGGAATGTAGCTTAGTGCAAAGGCACTGGATTCAATCCCCAGTACTGGGGAAAAAAAGAAAAAGAAAAGCAAACAAAACAAATCAAAACAAAACATTGATACCTCCTCCACTTTTCTTTTTTTCTCCTGGGGTGGAGCAGCACTTCTGATTACCGTAGCTGACTGAGCCTTTAAAACTTCTGTGGATTTCTGAAAAAATAAAACACAAAAGATGCTGTTTGCAGAGAAGGGAAATTCAATTATAATAATCAGAAGTAAAACATTCTAATGAGTTCGCCTTAACAGCACTAAAAACAATACCTGTTTGTCAGTTTTCTCTCCACCAGCAGTAGGAGAGCTGCAGGTAAAGTCAGATGACAAGGCATCTATAGCATCATCAGGCCCCATGGGCTTCTAAAGAAACAAGCATAAGGGCAATAATTTATGGGAGCCATTTAAGTAAAAAAAGATATTATAAACTCAACAAAAGAATAATGTAGTTTTGCATTCCTTCACTGCCAAATGAGATATATTAATGGAATAACTTCATATCAAAGCTTATATATGGAATGAAGTTGATGTTCAGTAAGTACAATTTTCCTCTTCCACTCTTTAGAAATTAGATGGTAGGATATACTTATTCTAAGGTTACTAATCTTCTGATTTATTGTTATTGCTAATAATTTCTTGGCCCTATTCCCTTGCTTTAAGAAATAAACTACACAGGAGGAGAAAGAAAACTAATACAACTCCATGCACCTTCTTTCTCTGAACAGACAAAAACATCATCTTGTTTAGAAATGAGTTTAGTCATGATCCCAATATACAATTAGTAGCCCCATTTCCCCCATCAGAGATAAAAACAAAATCAATTTATATCTGAAAAGCCATTTATGTAAACTCACCAATGAGTCTGGTGGAGGCCCCATGACACCTTTTTTCTGAAACAAATATTAATTTGATGAGATTGAGAAGGCAAAATATATTCCCAGTGTGTGATGGGTTGAACTGTGTCCTTTTCCAAATTTATATACTGTAGTCCTAACTCTTCACACCTCAGAATGAGACCTGATTTGGACAAGGGTCTTTACAGAAGTAACCAAGTAGAAGAGAGGTCATTAGCATGGGCTCCAATATGATTGGCTTCCTGGGGAATAACAAGATAGACCCAGAGAAATGCATTGAGGAGGATGAAGTAAAGAGACATAGAAAGTGACCGTCAATAAGCCAAGCAAAGCGAACTAGAAAAGAACTTTCTGTTGCCCTCAGCAGGAATCAACCCTGCTAACATCAACTCTGTATGTCTAGCCTCCAGAATTGAGATTTCTATTGTTTAAGCTACTCAGTCTGTAGTACTTTGTTGTAATGTCATTAGCAAACTAATACATACAGACAGCTTCTTGGTAATGATAATTTCATATGTTATTGTTTAGATCTAAAATGTTCCCCCTGAAATCTCCTATGTTTGGAGAACGATCAGGTCATGGGGGCGCTATATTTGTAAGTGGACTCACCCATTGATGAATTAATTCAGCCCCTGAATGTGCTATTAGGCAGTGAGGCCTGGTTGGAGGTGAGTCACTGTGGGAACGACCAGGGAGATCTATGTACCTCCCTCCGAAGCTCCTCTCTTTGCTATGTAATGACCAGCTATACTCTGCCCTGGTCTTTGTACCATACTGTTTCTGCTGAAGAACCAGGTGAACTTTGACCCTCTTTTTTTTTTAAGTTGTGCGTATCAGGTATTTTCTCTCAGTGACAAGAAAGTAAGACAGATGTTGATACCAGGACTAGGACAGTTGCTGTGCACGTACCTGACTATGTGATTTAGAAGAAGTTGTTGCTGTGAATCTATCTGATCATGTGGTTTAGAAGCCTCTGGAATTTGTTTGTGAGAGGAGTTTGGAAAATTCTGGAGAAGTAGACCAGAGAAGCCCTAGAATGTTATGAGCAGTCATTGATGTGCAATGTTGGTCAGTTTAGAAAAACGGGACGCTAAATAGAAATACAAATAGTTTTATGTTGGGAACAAGGACATCATTAGAAGGTAGACAAAAGCCATGTTATGGCTTGTGTTTATACGTCTCCCCAAAATTTCATGCTTTTCCAGAGGTAGTTAAATCTAGATCCTGTGGTTGACTCATGGTAGGGTTAGGCCCAAGGGCACTAGGATCAAGGATGCTATCTGCCCTAAGTAGTCTGAAAAAGATAAAAGGTCTTGCTTTCCCTCTCTCTCTTTCTCACGTTATTGGACTGCAGATGCTGTGTTATGGCTTGGCAAAAAATTTGTCTGCATTTTGTTCATGTCCAGAGTCTTTGCCTGAAACTGAGATTAGAGACAGCAAACTAATTAATCTTGCAGAAGAAATTACAAGGCAGATGAATATTGAAGTGGTAGCACAGCTAATGTTGGGGGCTTTTAGTCAGATCTATGTTGAGAATTAAGAGCACAAAGCCCAGCAGAAGGATTTAAAGTATCTGGAGTTTGGCCAGAAAGGAAGCTGCAATAAAGCTATGGACTTAGAAAGATGGAGCAGAGGAGATCTTGACTGCTGAGAAGAACAGAAGCATAGAAAAGTTGGTCTGAATGAGTCACAAAAAGCAGGATTCCACCCTTTGTAGCCTCAAAATTGCAAAAGCAAAGGACTTTGCTTTGAGAAGGAAGCCCCAGAGCACCATGTTCCGGAATGATGGTGGCCTAGGAAAGTTGTTCCAAATTGGTGACAGGCTAGAGAATTTGTTCCTGGGGATTAGGTTTAGAATGCTCAGCAACCCAGGCACTCAACCCCTACAGCCAAGAGACAGACTACTACTCCAGCTGGAAGCAGACCTTGGCATCATCTACATGGCACTGGTTTTAGGTGCATGCAGAATGCAAGGGCTGCGGGGTCAGGAAGGCTTCCACCCAGATTTCAGAAGGAGGCTTGGGAGGCCAGCAGTGTGCCCCTGAGAGGGCAGTGTGTGAACTGTGAGTGTGAAGCTGAAGGTGCAGTGGAGACCCAAGAAGTTTGGAGAAGCCAGGAGCATGGATCATCTGAGGAAAGCTGCAAAGAAGGAGCAGAGCCAGCTCCAGAGAGAAGCCATGGAAGCTACAATCATCTATAGAGTCATAGGGGCAAAGCCACCCAAGCCTTTTGGAGTTTACAACTCGGCAGATTGCCTTGGATGCTGGAAGTGGAACTTGGAAGTTTGCCCTACTGGATTTTGGACTTGCTTTGGTCCCATTCCATTGCATCCCTCTGTACCTTTAGGAATGGTTAATGTCTATCTTGTGCTATTGAATGTTGGAAGTGTTTAACTTTCTTTTCATATGTGCAGGGATTTGCAGCTAAGAGTTTGCCTTAAATCTTACAGGAGCCTTTGCATTTGGACTTTTCAGCAGTACTGAAACTATTACGACTCTGGCAACTCTTGAAGATGGACTTAATGCTTTTTTTGCATAAAGGGATATGTATGAGTCTTTGGGGGCCCAGGGGCGGATTGTCATATTTTGTGTTTAGATGTCCACCCAAAGCCTCATTATTTTTCAGAAGTAGTTGAATCTGGAATGTGTGATGCTGGGGTTAAGGGTGTGTGATTAAACCACTAAATGTGAGTGATTGGTTTGGCACTGCCCTAATCCTGGTAGTCCTAATAAGTAAAAGGGATAGAAAGATGCTGTTAAACTCTTGTTGTCTTTGCTACCTTGTGTATGCCAGGCTGTTTCTCCACTGCAAGACCTGTTTGTCATCCCTGTCTTGTAGCCAGCTGACTACAGAATGAAATCTCTATGAACAGTAAACCAAATAAACCTCTTCCCCTCCAATTTTTGGTGTTGGGTATTTTTGTCTCAGCAAGAGAGTAAAGTAACTAACACACCATGTGGCAGAAAATTAGTCTACATTTTGCTCATTTCCTGAGACTGCAGGAGACTGAATTAAAGGCAGTGGACTAATTGACCTGGTGAAGGAAATTTCAAAGAAGCCCAATGTTCAAGCTGTGGCACAGGTACTGCTGGCTGCCTTTAGCCAGATCCACAATCAAAATCAGGAAGAAGAGTAGAGCTCAATGACCTGAAAAAGGCTGGAGTTTCAAAAGACAGCTTAAAGGGATCTCAAGAATTAGCAACAGCCAAGGAATCACAGGCTCAGGGACACAAAAGTATAAAGCTTTCATTTGAAAAGAGGGTCTCTGGGCTGCAAGAGTGAAGCCAAAGGTGCAGTGGAGATCCCAGGAGTTGGAGATGCCAGGAATGTGAAACATCTGCTGAGAAAAGCTGCAGGGAATTATCACAGCCACACCATGAGAGAGAACAAGTAGGCTACCAAGAAATGCCACAGGAGTAGAACCACCTTAGCTCTTTGGAGATCACATTTCACCACAACCTGTCCTGGGTGTTAAACTTTAAGATTTAATGCTTGCCCTACTGGGTTTTAGTCTTCCTTTGGTTTTATTTCTGTCTATTCTCATAGTCTTTTTTGGAATGGGAATGCTTACCCTGTGCTACTATGTATCTAAAAGTGTTTTTCTTCTTCATTTTTTACAGAGGTTCACATCTAAGAGTTTGCCTTGTGTCTCAGAGGAGAATGTGGACTTGGATCTTCAGCAATACTGGAATTTTTAAGGTTTTGGCAATCTTAGAGAAAGACTAAATACATTTTGCATAATGAGATGGACGTGAGCCTTGTGGGAGTCAAAGGCAAAATGTTATCCAAAATTTCTCCCCAAAAGCCTCTTGTGCCTTGAGGGTGACTGGATTATGGGGACACTATACCCTCCAGTGGATTCACCCATTGATGAATACAGTAGCTGAATTGCTATTAGGAGGTGGGGCCTTGTTGGAGTAAGACATGCTCCATTAAATTTTCTAAATTAAAAAAATATGAAGGTATTGATATGAAATTGTATTTCATAAAGAAAATAGTGAAATAAAAGTAACTACTTACAGCCAAAAGTTCCCTATATTTTGGAGGAATTGTGATCTCTCTTTTACCCAGCTCCTCAATATAGGTGGAATACATTGGGTCCTGGAAGAAAATTACACATGCAGAGGGATTTTAAGTTATTAATAAGCTGAGAATATTATATGCATCTTACGAAAGCAAGGTTCTATTCCAGTATTAATTTTTGCAACTATTAAGATACAGTGTAAATCATTAAAGAATCAATACTTTTCAAAACTCAGAAGGTTTAAATTTGCAAAAGTACCCATATTTAGTTGGCTTAACTTAGGTAATGCTAGGAAATACTAAAAATATTATACCACATTTGAAGTTTGTATGAAAAGTCATTGTGTTTCAATATCTAATGTTTCTGGTACATAAAAAAGTAAAGTTAGTAACATAATTAATTTCTGGATAAGCCAACATACAACTTTATCAGATTTTTAGTTATTTCTTATGTAATGTCTAAGAAAGCAGAAAGCAAAATCATAGATAAGAATGAAGGCCTCCTTTTGATCTTCTCCAGTGTAGTTCCCTTTCCTTGTTAGCCAGCGTTAAACACCACCCTGAATTTTAAGTTTATCATCTGTATCCATTTAAAGTTTAGCATGTTTTAAAAAAATTGTTACATATGCGAGTATTCATAAACAATATAGCATCCTTTTGCAAATCAAATATTATATAAACAGTATTATATATATATATATATCTTGTAATATTTAATTCAACACTGATTTTATAATGTAACCATGTTAAACCATACGTAATACATTTTCAGCACTACAAAGCATTGCGTTAATTATCCTGTCATCTGTTGAACAAAATTATTTCCAAATAGTTCTAATCTTCTTTATGCACAAGGGAAAGGCTCTCTCTGGAAGTGAATTCTGGTTGAAGGCAATGCATATCTTCAGCACCCACCAGCCACAGGTGATTTGTCAGACTTTACACATTTCCCAATCTGATGGATCAGAGGTTATCTTTCCATGTTTTAACATCATTTTCCTAATTACTAGAGAGACTTATGTCTCACTTGTTCCTTGCCTGATGAAGTCTCTCCTGATTTTCTTTGGATAGACTTATTTCACTGTTTTTTATTCTTTATAAACTCTAGAAATATATCCTTTGTTATATCTATTAAAATATTTTCATCTAGTCTATGGCGTATCTTTTAGAAACGTGATTTTATTGTTTTTAAGAAATGAGGAACAGAGATGAGCTGAGGATGGTAAGTATTTAGAAATCAAAATAAGTTCAAGATGTAGAAGGGGAAAAATCTAGAAGAGAAAATAAATTCAAATCTGCTGGAGCTAAATCTTGAGAGAAAATAAACCTTTCTGACCCAATAGACTGCATGCCATTGCCAGTCTTAACACAGAAAAATCAAATGTTTTCTGAATTAGTGTAATTGTATAACTACCACAAGACAAACTATTTCTACCCTCAACACTAATATTAAGTTGCTATTATCAATACTGACATCATCCTCTTTCTATCCAAGCAACAGAACATGAGGTGCTTTCTGGTACTCCATGATCATGGCCTCATTTGCCCTTTTATTCACTGAGTATGAGTTTTGACAGGTATCAGATCACGTACTGAAATTTCTGGTCCAGTATATGTCGTATTATCCTCGTTAGTTTCTTCAGGTTCTCCTAATGTGTCTATCAAGTCATCCAAAGCAGCATCAATGCCTGACTGGAAATGAAAGCAAGTCAGATATTTAACTGTTAGTTGTTCAACATACTTCACTTTTGTTTTTTTAATTTTTTAAATTATTTATTTAAAAAATATTCTTCCATGCAGAAAAACATCAAACACCGAAAGTTTTTCAAATATCAAGGTAGTAAAATCCATTCTAATCTGATTACGTCTCATAGTACAGATTCAACATTGGAAAGAATAAAGAAAAGAACACACATTTAGGTAAGAATCACAATTTTCACTAATCCAAAAGCATGGACTACATGAAAAAAAAAATGTGTGAGTTCATCAAAGCTGCCAATCCAATGTACTGTTAAAAAGAAAAAAGATCAAAACAAAGCATTATGATCATGTTCTAAAATAACGCGGCTTTTAGTACTTATTGTTTATCAAATTTTCCAGAGTTTTTCACAAATAAACAAAACAAAAAATAAATATACAAAGCAAAACTATAGAAAGCACCACTTCTAAATAGAATCTATTTTAACAATGGATTTCCTTGTATTCTTTCATATATTTAAGTTCTTTTGTTCACCTCTTGCCCAAAGGTGTTTAAGAAACAGCAATTACCTGAAAGATGTTAAATTTACAATAGCCGACAGTTTATTCAGTCAATAATGAATGAGAAGTTGCCTCCACCTTATTTTTGAAGTTAAGAATGACTCACTGCGAACAATAACCTGTAACTGAAATGGTAAAACATCTAGGAAAAGACCCTTTGCTATGTAATTCTGATTGTAAAAGACTGCTTAAAATGTTTGCCCTTTTTTTCAACTATCATTTTCCCACAACAATTTTAGGACTTATCTGATCAATGATTTGTGTGACAGAAGTTAGGTCTTATTGGCTTTTGATTATTTGGGGGGGTGAATTTCAGAATAACACCTTATATTCTTGAGTTGCACATCTGGTTAAAGAAGATGTATTTGCAAAAGACAAACTGGAATGTAAACTCCAAACTGGAATGTAAACTCCATGAGATGAAGCTGGAGTTTTCAAAATAGAGGTTTATAATACAAAATGTTTAAAATAGAGATGTGAAAGCCACAATTTCAACCACCCAGTCATGTTTGGTTAACATATTAATTCATCATAATGCTCCTTTAAGCCACCCCTTTTATAGTTTGCCCACAAGAAATCAGGCTGAGATAAACACAGAGCATGAGGATGAATGTCGTATGCAGAAGAGCACTGTGATTTTCATACCTTTCCTGGTGGTTTATCTGGTTTGGATTCAACTGGTGCAGCTGGCATTAGTGATTTCTTTTCTTTTTTCTAGTGAGAGTTCAGAGAGACATTGAACACTCCTTTTCGCAGACCTTCATAAAACTCAACACAATTACATGTTTTAAAACAAATTCATTGCAATATTAGTAGCACTGATGATGCACTGCAACAAATATTACATGTGTTATGTTCTTTTTCAGATTTGCTTAGTACTATTAATCTTACTTAAGGGTGTGGAAAGAAAGACTCCAAGAAATTGAGTAACTCTCCTCAGGTTACACGGTAAAGGACAGAACCAAGGTTTGACTCCAAGGCCTGTGTCTCTCTCTTCACCATCTTCTCCAGGTTCTCCTGCCTCTGAAGAACAAATGAATCCTTTCCACTGATTCCAGCCCTTGCTCTCTGGGTCTTTGTTCCCGCACATCAAGAGCCTCACACCCCTTGCATTGGTATCGCATTACTCTTTCCTCTTCATTTCCCTACAATGATTTCGCTCCCTCTCACCAATGCTGCAGTTCCTCTTTCAGAGATGGCCAATGACTTTCCAATGGGCAACATCCATGCCTTTGTCCGGGCATAATCTCTACAATTCGGTCCTGAGAAGTAAACACCTCCTGACTTGTCCCTCACAGCTGCTGTAGCCCGGCACCATTCTGATTCTACTCTGGTGTTTGTGCCTCTGTTCTCTGTCACCTCTGGATCTCTGCTTCTTTCCCAACTGCACACATTCTACACCTTCCTGTCCTGTGCTGCCAGTTTTGTCCAAAATTACACTCTAGGGGTGGGTGGGACTCAAGCATTTTCAGGGCTTGGCAGGTGTTCACTGGGGTTAAGTCGATAGGAGACCACGTTCCATTTGAAGGTGTCAATTCCAGCAGCAGAGCAGAGGCAAACGGCACGGGCTCCAACTACCCGGATCTGCACGCCAGCTGTGACAGGCATGGCGAGTCACTTCTGCTTCTGCCCTCTGGATTCCCTGCAGGAGACGCAAGGGAATGACGATACCTCCTCAGGGGCTGCGGACATTGGATAAACTAACGGATATAAAGTATGAAAAACGGTGTTTGGCACTTGTTAAGCAGCAGGTAAGTAATTGCTATATAACTAAGTGCTAAATAAATGACCGTAGTGGTTGTGATGATAAAAATATCGTGAGGGCCATCAGGGTGTGTCTGGGCAATTAAAACCACCACCTGATGCAGACATCCACCCACATTCTCTCTCCCACCTTCCTCATACCTCTTCTCTTTTCTTTTTCTCTTTCTCTCTGCTCCCTCTTCTTTCTCCCTTTGCACGCTCTTCTCCCCCACCCCACTCTCTTGTAACCCAAACACATCTTTCCTTGGACATTCCAAACTGCTAAATTCAGCCTGTCCTAAACCAGAGCCAGTATTCCTCCCTTAAACAATTCCTCTACTCACTTCTGTCCACCAGTAAAAGGCAACTAAGGGGTCAGGGGCAGGTCTCCAAGGTACCTGCTTACCATTTAAGGAAACACTCATTTCCAAGTGTTGACCCTGCACTTGCTTGAAAATGTCAGTGACGCTTCCTTAAATTTTATGTAAGGGATACCTCTCCTACCTTATCTTATTTTTAAAAAAATTATTAGCATGTTTGCAGTACGTAATGATTAAACTCACTGAGGGGAGCTGGTACATGTATATAACAAGTTTTGATTATTTGTACATCCCTCTCCCCTCCAGTGTCCTCCCTCAACCTCTTGGTCCCTTTTCCATCTGCAAGGTTCTGTCGCCTTCTTTACATTATCTATAATTTATTTTGCTCTCTTTAGGTTTCTTATATAAGAGAAATCATGTGATATTTAAGCTATGTCTCTATTTCACTTAACATTATGATCTCAAGGTGCATCCATTTCCTACAAATGACTCAAAAGTAAACTTCTTTATAGCAGACGAGTACTCCATTTTGTATAAATGCCACCTTTTCTTTACCTTTATGATGGACACACAAACCACTATCAAGATTGAGCTCTTACGAACTGTGCTGCTGTGAACATGGGTACACATACACCATTTTAATATAACATCTTTAACTCTTTCAGGAAGATACCTAGTAGGGGAATAGTAGCTAGGTTGAATAGAATTTTAATTTTAGTGTTTGGAGGAATCTCCAAACTGACCTACCAACAATGTAGAAGGGTTCCTTTTTCCTTGTCACCTCACCAGCCTTTGGGATTACAATGAACAGCTCCAAGCTCAAACTTACCACTGTGAACAGCAAAGTTCGAAGAATATCTGCTTGGTGTTCATAACTTTGCTCGATAGTTGAACCAAAAATCTAACTCCACCTGTACAGGCTGAGTGAGACGCGTCACATCTCACCTGGGCACAGAGGGGTGACACTCCAGTCTAAGTGCTGCTGCCACCCGAGAAAATATAGTGCTTGTGTTAGTGCATTAAAACATCTGTCATTGATTCAGTAAAGTATCTGGATACAAGGTGAATACCCAAAAATCAATAGCCTTTCTATACACAAATAACAGACAGACAGAAAGAGAAATAAGGGAAAAAATTCCTTTTACAATAGCATCCAAAAAAATGAAGTATCTAGGAATCAATCTAACAAAAGAAACAAAAGATCTCTACACTGAAAACTACAGCACTCTGAAAAAAGAAATCGAAGAGGATATAAAAAAATGGAAAGATATCCCCTGCTCCTGGGTAGGAAGAATCAACATAGTGAAAATGGCCATACTACCGAAACTGCTATATACATTCAATGCAATGCCAATTGAAATTCCAACACTATATTTCACAGAACTAGAAAAAAGAATCCAAAAATTCATTTGGAACCACAAGAGACCTAGAATAGCAAAAGCCATTATAGGCAACAGTCACATGGCACCAGGTGTAACAATTCCCAATTTGAAACTATACTACAAAGCCACTGTGATAAAATCAGCATGGTACTGGCAAAGAAATAGGCCTGAGGATCAATGGAACAGACTGGAAGACACAAAAACAAATGCAGATGTACTCAGCTACCTCATCTTCGACAAAGGAGCTCACCATCCTCAGTGGAGGAAAGATAGCCTCTTTAATAAATGGTGTTGGAAAAACTGGATATCAACCTGTCACAGATTAAAATTAGACCCTTATCTTTCGCCATGCACTAAATTAAAATCCAAATGGATTAAAGATCTAAATATTAAAACAGAAACATTAAACTTGCTGGAAAGTAAGTTAGGCAGAACTCTGGAAGACATTGGTATAGGAAAAGACTTTATGAACAAATCCTCAGTAGCACGGGAACTAGCAGAAAGAATCAACAACTGGGATCTCATCTTACTAAAAAGCTTCTGTACTTCAAAAGAAACCATTAGCAGAACTAAGAGACAATCTACAATGTGGGAAAAAATTTTTACCAGCTGTACCTCAGACAAAGGACTATTATCAAGGATATATAAAGAACTCAAAACAATCAGTCCCCCCAAATATAAAGACCCGATCCAAAAATGGGCATCCGAAATGAACAGACATTTCTCATACAAAGAAGTGAAAGCAGCAAGAAAATATATGAAAAAATGTTCCACATCACTGGTCATTCGAGAGATGCAGATGAAAACAACACTGAGATTCCACCTCACCCCACAAAGAATGGCTGCTATCAAGAAATCACACAATAACAAATGTTGGCGGGGTTGTGGGGAGAAAGGAACCCTCCTCCATTGTTGGTGGGAGTGCAGACTAGTGCAACCACTATGGAAATCAATATGGAGATACCTCAAAGAGCTTGGACTGGAGGTTCCATTTGACCCAGCCATCCCTCTGTTGGGTATCTTTCCAAGAGAACTAAAAGAATCATATCACAGAGAAGTATGTGCACCCATGTTTATAGCGGCACAGTTTGTAATAGCTAAATCTTGGAAACAACCTATTTGCCCATCCGTTGGAAACTGGATAAAGAAGTTGTGGTTTTTCTATAAAATGGAATATTACTCAGCCATAAAGAGCGAGAGAATAGATTCATTCATAGGAAAATGGATACATATTGAAGATATACTCCTAAGTGAAATAAATAAGTCCCACATGTGTAAATACCAAATAGTTTCCCTGGTGTGAATATTCTGCAACAATGCATAAGATTCTAATAAGATTACTGACATTTAGAAATGGGAGGAAAGGAGCTAAAGGTGTAGGGAAGGTGTGATACGTAGGGGAAGAACAAAAAGGGAAAAGAAAAAAATGTGAGAGAATGAAAAGATGAAAATAAAGTGTTTGTAGATGGGGAGGGGAGGAGGGGGTGAAGGGAGGGCAGAGGTAAGGGGAAAAAATGAGAATCAAGACTTGCCATGTAAAGGTACATGATCCCAACAATGAATGTAACTGTACTGTATCCCTAAATGTACCAATAAACTCAATAAAAAAAAAAATCTGTCATTATGCTTTTTGTGTGTGCTTTATTTGCATAAAACATTGTAACCGTGATGCCAAAGACAGTGATACTGGCAGTAAAACTAAGAGGAAGACTGTGAGAGCCACCCCAGAGTTGAAGAAAGAAATCATTGCAAAACTTGTTAAAGTTCTGGAAAAATGAATTTAAAAGTGCAGTTTTGGGGCCTCAGAATCAATTATTTGGTTTCCATTATTTCTTAAGGAAAAGTACATTCAGTTCTCAAACTTCTCGGTGTTCAAATACAAATTTGGAATGAATGGAATTCAACAACCAAAATATCGCTGTACTTGGATTTCTTTACAGTAGCCATTCTTTGTGGAGAAGAGTAGAGTCTCAATGTTGTTTTAATTTGCACTGCTCTAAAGGCCACAGATGGTGAACTTTTTTTTCACATAGTCATTGGCCATTTGTATTTTATTTTCTGAGAAGTGTCTATTCATTTTGTTGGCCAATCTTTTGATTGGGTCTTTTATTTTGAGGGATCTAATTTTTTGAGGTCTTTATATATTCTAGACATTAGCCATCTTCTAAAGTGTCGCTGGTAATTTTTTCCTCCTGTTTTGTATGTTGTCTCTTCACTCTATTGGCTGTTGCCTTTGTGTAGATGCTTTTTAATTTGACAAAAATCACATTTGTTGATTTTTGATACTATTTCTTGTACAACTGTGGCTCTGTTCAGAAAGTCCTTGCCTATGCCTAAGATTTCAAGAGTTTTACCTATTTTATTTTGCAGCAGGTTGTTTCTGTTTTAAAATGTAGATCCTTGATCCTTTTTTTCACTTTGTACATGGTGAGAGATATGGGCCCAGATTTAATCATCTGTATGCAGATAGCCAGTTTTCCCAGCACCATTTATTTACTAGAGGCCATTTTCCCTCCAGCATATGTTTTTGGCCCCTTTGTCAAAGATCAGATAGCTGAATGTGTCTGGGATTGCTTCTGTATCCTCTATTTTGTTCTTGTAATCCAAATATGTTTTGTTTTGTTTGCAATCAACGTGCTCTTCTTAATCACGGTAGCTTTGTAGTATAATTTGAAACCTGGGATTGTGATGCCTTCTGCTTTGCTCCTCTTGCTCAAAATTGCTTTTGCTGTTCTAGGTCTCTTCCGGTCCCATTTGAATTTTAGAACTGTTTTCTCTATTTCTGTGCAGAATGCTGTTGGTATTTTGATTGGGATTGCATTTAATCTGTATATGAGTTTTGGAAATAGGGCCATTTTGATATTAGTTATGCCTATCCAGGAACAGGGATATCTTTCTACTTTCTAATGTCCTTTTTGATTTCCTATAGAGTACTGTAGTTTTCACTGTAGAAATCTTTCACTTCAGTTAGGTTAATTCCTAAATATTTAATTAAATGCTATTATAAAAAGTATTGCTTTTTAAATTTCTTTCTCAGTGAGCTTATCTCTGGTGTACAGGAATGCTACGGATTTTCGTGTGTTGATCCTATATCTGCAACAATGCTGAATTTGGCTACTAATTCTAGGAGTCTTTTGGTAGAAATTTTTTGGACCTATATAAAGGATCATGCCATCTGCAAACAACGATGATTTGATTTCTCCCACTCCTATATGTATTCCTTTTATTTTGTTCTCTTGCCTGATTGCTCTGGATAGTGTTTTGAGTACTATAATGAACAGTAGTGGTGATAGTGGTCTTTTTGGATTAGATGAATTTCTTGAGTGCAGCAAAGATTTGCTTTCCGATTCTGCCAGTCTGTGTCTGTCATTTGGCAAGTGGAGGCCATTTACATTGAGAGTTATTAATAAAAGGTGTTGACTTATTCCGGTCATTGAAGTTTTTTTATTGTAGTTGTTGATTCTTTTATTTTTCCCTTAACTACTCACTTTACTGTATGTATTCATTCCATTTGACTTTTTGGCTTTGTTGGATTCATTGTCTATGACTAAGATATATTTGAGTATTTTTTGGAGTGCTCATTTGGTGTTTATGATTTTCTTAAGGTGTTTTTTGTCATGGAAAGTGTCTGTTTCTCTATCAGTTTTGAAAAACAGTTTTTCAAGATATATTAGTCTGGGTTGGAAGTTATTTTCTTTCAGTTTTGAAACAATTTACTACAAGCTCTTCTAGCCTTTAAAGTTTGTGCTAAAAAGTCCACTGCAATCCTACTGAGTTTGCCTTTATAAGTGATTTTTTGCTTTTCTCTGACAGCTTTTAAGATTCTGTCTTTGTGTTGGACTTCTGGGATTTTTGCCTATGATATGGAAAAATTCTATTTTCATCATAAGTATTTGATTCTTCTTAAGTTTTACTCACCTGTATGTTAAGTTCTTTCCCCATACTTGGAAAGTTTTCTGCTATGATTTCAGTAAATCGATTTTTTTCAATGTGTGCTGTCCTCTAATTTCTAACTCCAATTAGTCTTAGTTTAGTCTTTTAAGCATCATACAGTATCTGTTGAATGAATCTTTTTTACTTTCATCATTTTTAAGGTTTCTGAAGTATATTATCATGTGATTCCATTTTGTCCTTGATTTTTGAAACTCTGTCCTCACATCATAAGTTATTTCTGCTGTTCATGAATTCAATAGTATTTTTGGTCTCCAAGATTTCTATTTAGCACCTTTCCATGGAATCAATTTGTTTGGTAAATTGTCATTCATATTTTGAAAAATTTTGTCAGTTTTACCAATTTATTATTTGTTTCTCCATATCTACGTTAGTCAGTTTGATGAAAGTTCCACAATCTTTAGGATTATGTCATCTTTGAGCTTGTTGAGGTTCTTTGCTTCTTCTTGAACCATTTTTTGCATCTCAATTATCTGGTGTCTGATTTCTTCTCCATGGGCTCCCACTGGATCTGCTTTAGAACAGCTGGAAGTCTTTGGAGACATTTTTTTGCAGACCCTTGGTTTTTTATGTCCTCCCTCTCTTCCTCCCTTCCTTTCTCCCTCCTTTCTTCCCTCCCCCCCTTTCTGTGTGTGTGTATGTGTGTGTGTGTTTGAGTTTTGAGATGAAACAGAGAAAAGAGACTATGTTGTTGTTTTGAAGATCTCTTTAGTTATGTTCTGTTTTGAAGTGATATGCTCCTGGCTTTATTTGTCAAAAGATATTGTTTACTACTTCAAGCTATTTGATTTAACTGAGTTGGACCTTGTCACTCTGTTATAAGAGAATTTCTACTAGTTATAAAAGCATTAGCATATCCAACCATACATCAATCATAAACATTAAAACTTATTGTGATAAATTCCCCTTCTTTTAGTACACTCTTAGAGACTATGGGGAAAGAGGGAGAAAAGAGAAATGGCAGTGGGTAATGAATAAACACGAGGATGGACTCTGTTGGAATTATTCTATCCTTCCACATCACACTTTATCTCTCACCCCACCTCAGGGTACCTATTTTTCTCCAGTATCAATTCAGAGACGCTCGCCCTTGCTATAGCCCCCAGGCAGCATCTTCTTCCCCTGCCTTATTTTGGAATTACAAACTTAGTTCAGATTCCAAAGCCCCAAGTTATCTCAGATTGTACTTTCCCCTTTCCCACTTTGGCCAACTATCTCCTAAAGCCTGAAAGTTTTACCTCTTCAGTGCCTCTTTGATAACTCCTCACTTTCTTACCCCATTTCAGCTCCAATTTTGGCTAAACTATAACTCATGGAACTACTAAACAGCCCCTGACTAACCTTTCACCTTCCTATCTACCTAGTAGAAACTCAACTTAGCATTCTTCAGGGCAGCCTTAACCTGTCTTTCTGGTCTTTCAGCCCCAGCACTTCCCCTACCCAAGCTTCACCTGCATTGGAATGCACTTTGTGGCCAGAACACGTGGAGATTTTTCAACACCTTGAAGCACGTGCAACCCTTTCATCCTAGCTGCCCTCCATGCTTAACTCTGAGGAGGACTGCACTCTCAAAGCCTTGTCCACTCCCTGAGCCAGGCAGAATCCTTCCATTCTTCATTGAAACATCACTTTTCCCCCAGGTTTTAGGAGATAAGCCATATAATTTTTATCCGAGCTCATGCAGCTTTCCTATGGAGTCAAAACACAACTTCTAAATAGAAGTACCCAACTTAAACATGTTTTCTTCTTGTAACAGACCACTTGTGTACTTTTTTCATCACTCATCATCACCAAGGGGATACATATTATTGTCTTGTACCAATAAAGAGTATGTAAATGAAGTGGTTTGAAAATAGACGGCTTTAAGGTAGAATATTAAGTATGTTAAAACAGACTTTGAAATGCAGGCAAAATTTCAAGTTTTATGATAGATACATATAAGTTAGCCGGTGTTATCAGTGAAAGCTAAATAATTAAATCAGGAGAACTTTTGAGTAATGTTCTTGTGCTTTGGATGGTGCCGGAAATTGTATTTTGTTTTACTTTGTCCCTGATTCTTCTCTGTTAAATAGAGTTGATCAGATATACTATCTTGTAGTTCATAGCATGTTTAAAGCACTGTGATTGTTTCCAAAAAAAGAAAGATGTGTCAAACTTTTGTCCTATGACTTCTTATGGTTTAGCCTGCGCCTTCCTCATTTTGAGAAGAGGGAATATAAAAAATACATTCTACTTTTAAAAAAATTATCTCCACATTATCTTGACTGTTTCAGTTGTTCACCTGTAGCTTCAAAATGATCATGTATCCTCTTAAGTCATAGCTATCTCTGTCCTGCTACAGGTAGAAAAGATAAACTCCTTCTCCGTTCATGCAGCCAGCCTGGCATCGAAGGCTCCGAGGAAGGCCTGAAGGCACCAGCCAGCACAGTACACACCCTCTGCACACTTTCCACGTCTCCTCTCAAAACCTCCCGCATTAATTCATCCTGACGCTATAGTGAATGTTTGTGGTTTAACAGTCTCAAGATAGCTGGTGCCAACACTGAAAGCCAAGAGTAATGCTTATTCAGATGCTCATGGAAATTTTATGTGCTTTATTTCATACCTAACTCATCAGAAAGGCAGGATCTGAATCAGCTCACATTTTAATATTTTTAGCATTGATACCAGGCCTTCTATATGGCAGGTGTTCCGTGTTTATTGAATATATGAATTTTGGAGTCATTTTTAGTATCTTGTTCACTTTATATCTCTTAAATGCATGCTTTTCTTCACAAACGTTCACATATAAGCCCCATTCACCCTTACCAAACAGCAAGTTATTTGAGCGTAAGTTTCTTATAAAAGAATCCTGATATGCACAGAGGCTGACATTCATGTTTGCAAGCTCACCTTGTCATCTGGTTTGCCAGAAGTTGCAGCCACCCCAGCAACAGCGCTCTCTTTCTCCACAGAAACAGTGGCTTGCGATTTAGCCTGTCAGTGGGGAGAAAAGGTTGACAAGACCAAACACCTCTGAACAACTGCCACCAAGACCAAGAGTTGCAAATGTCATGTAGACCCGCCAGTTTGCCCTCTGGAGCGTTTACTAACTACCACTGCCCACGCTGCAATGCTGGTCACCTCCATAGCTGAACTCAGAGCCTACAGGGTCCCTATGGGTCCCACATACAAGTGAGTCAGGCCAGGTGGGCAGAGTGGTAGACCGGAGCATATATGCTAGGTGTCACAGCTCTAGTTGACTTTGCTGTGTGATCTCATTATTACCCTTCCTCTGATTTTTCAAGAAAAGCTACAAATTGGAGTTTTATATGAAATTCCCTAAACTTTAACTGCTGATAATTAATTAAAAATATTTGAACAATACTGTAAATCAAACAAGTACACATATAGCTGTATTTAACTGGTAAGTTTCAAGTTTGTGATCTCTGGAATAAAATATATGATGAAGTAGTTCCAGCTATTATCTTCTAAGTGATCTCAAAACTTTCTACTCAGAGATATCTATTCCTTTAAAAGATGACTACCATTAACTTTAAAATCATGAAATCAATTTATTTATTTATTTTTTGTCTCTATGAGTTCATGTTTTCTATAACAAGATTCTAAAAATCCTTCAACTTTTAAGGAAGCAGGTAAAGTCAAGTGCAGCGATGTGCACTTGAAGTCTCAGCTACTCAGGAGGCTGATACAGGAGGACTGATTGAGCCAGTGCGGGGGAAAAAAAAAAATGGAAAGAAAATAAAAAGCAGAAGATGATGCACAAAGCCCTAGCCCAGATAAGAGCAGTTCAAAGTCCCCTGTTTGGTAGACACCAGAGCCTGCTGCCTGGTAGTTATGGCTGTCATTGCTGGGCATTGTGAGAGAAAGCCTGACAGTCATTCTGCTAAGCCTGCCTCATGCCCTTTTCAGGGCCTCCATAAGCCCAAGTTGTAACAAGACTATGTGCAAAATCAATGAAATAACAGTACCAAATCATTATAGTACAGATAAGTATCTGGCATTTTCTCACAGATTCAACTACACACTGCAATGTGGTTTGGGAAACCAAGTCTTAATGGCTACTTGAAAATAGTGTTTCCATATCTAAGAACCTGTTTCATTACCTTTGGTTCTGTAGACTTCTCTGACGTCAGCTGCTCCTTAGATCTGGAAGCTGCTTTTTCACTATGAGTGGGTTTGCTTCCTACATCTGATGCATGCTGGGGTTGGCTTTTTGGCTAGAAGCACACAGGCATATGCTCATACGCACAGACCAAACATTACTAACAGTGGTATTTTCAGCACAATACTGAAACTTTTCTTTATAGAATAAGAGGCATTTATAATAGCTGTACTACTTGTGGTTTTCACCATGTGAATGTGAATTAGTGTGATATTAATGTGACAAAGTTTACTTTAGATACAAAATTTGAAATAGTGCAATTCCTCCCCAGAAAATTAAACAAGAATCACCTGAGAAACTTGTAAACACCGCTATTGCCACATGGTGGCACTATTTTAGCTGAAAACACCCCAAATATTTAGCCATCCAGACTCAGAATTAGCCTCAAATGGTGAGTTTGTAATTAAACTTTAACAACAATAAAAAAAAGTAACCTTATAATATCAAATCCTAAAGATAACTATTTACCTCTGCATGTTCCTTTGGCTTTTCTTCTTGGGATTTTTTTTCATGAACCACAGAAAGCTGTTAATTTCAAAAGATTAAAAGTTCAATTACAGTAAAGTCTACTGTTTTCCTGTTTCCAAAAAGTCTCAAGAATAAAAATTTCAATTAAATCATTCTGTCCCTTTCAGGAAAAGCTCACTGTGGTGCGGTTCTTTGGGATTAGACTAGACAAGTGCTATCTGGTCTACAGTAACCCACCAGCAGTCTCCAGTAATAGAGCAATAATGGAAAACAGTATTTAGAACAATGTTTTCAAATACACATTTTTCAAAGTTACTGGCTGTTTTTCATAATTCATGCGGATAAACTGGAAACTACAAATCTATCCACAAATATGTCAAATGATCAGGGCAACTAGGTTTGTTGACCTGAGATCCCACTCTAGAAATTAATTTTGGAAAAAAAAACAGAAAACCTTTATAAAGACAAAGAGTGCAGTAGTTTCTCCAATTTACTGATTTTCAAGGGATCTGCTTTACTACAGAGAAGATCATATCACTAGAGACCTACTTTACTTGAGATTTAGTAGAAAACCAAAAGCATTTAAATGAGGACTAGAAAACAACCTCCACTGGGCTGCTATGTTCTTCACTCTAGGATCCACTATGCAATTATGGTCCTCAGGGGCCACCAGGAGGCCTTCTACAAGGCCAGATGATCCTCACCTTTGATATCACAATGCCATACTCAATGGTACTTAAAGTACTTTAGCCTAAAGCACCTTGGTGCTCTCCTACAGGAAACTCTTTGGTCTTATCTATCTGCTTAAGCACTTGAACAAATAAAATGTAACATTTTATCAGAGAAACTTTGCTCTCAGACACTCTGGGATCTGCTCCCAGGTGGAGGTGGAAGAACTTCCTGTCTGGACAGCCCTGAATAAGCACAGTAAAAGAAACCAAGGGAAAGTGAGCACCGTTGCCTGAGTAACTGATAACCAGCTCCCCCAATCCACGTAGGACCACAAAGAAGAACCCAGCTGGTCTCTTGGAACACTCATCTAGGTGACAGATTCAGCAGGCTGATCATGCCACTATCTCAGTGGAACTGGAACTGGGTGCTCACTACTCTGTTTATTCTCCTTTATTTCTCTTGTTTCAGTGTTTTACAATTATTTCACTGTTTTAAAAAAAGAGATTAGAACAAAATGTCTTCTGAAATATATTGCTTTGTCTTGATAACAATATACATAAATGTCACTAACCCATGCAAAAAAGTAGCCCAAAGTTAATTTAATCAGTTTTAAAAATCCCTATACCATAGCACCAGTGTAGGAAACAGGTTACTAATTATTGTTTAGAAGAACCCAAATAAGCTACTAGAAGACTTAAATCACTTACCGTAGCTGACTGTGACTTCTCAGGTTCTGTTTTTACAGCCTAAATTAAAAAGAAGGAGGACAAAAAGGAAGAAGCAAAATATGGACATAGTTTACCAAGATTATATAAGATTCTCTGCAATTAAGTAAAAGGTGATTTTGATATGATAAATACAATTTGGGGTTGTTTATTGTATTTTGCAAATCATAACTCCTTAGAGAAACACTTCCGCACAATAATATTCTACTGATTCACTTGGCAATTTGTATCTTATTTCTCGCTATATGTGTCAGAAGTGTGAAAGATCACATTGTACAAACACAAAAGCCACACAAAGGTCTCCATCCTTCAAAGTCAAGGAAGGATCCTGTTTCTAAATCACTAACAGGGTCTTTTTAATCAGTGAACTTCTCACCTGGGATTTTCACTGGAAAATATGCAACAATGGGATGGTGACAAAATCGAGGGCACAGGGAGCAATGAAATACATTTTTAGTGCCAGGATGTCACTGATGGGTAGTTAGGCTACAGAATGTCCCTGATGTAGGCAAAGCATTGCAGAAAACTATGAGCTGCCATTATTAGCAAGTGCTGAGCAGCTGAGGTGGCCGTTAGTAAGCAGCAACGTGATGTCCTAGCACAGTGAACCATATCACCTGTTTTTTGTGTCTTTTCTTGTTGGGAGGATGGGGTTCTTCCATCTGTTTGCTGACTGGAATTGCCTAATATAAGAGCAAAGCCCCAAGTGTAATTTTATTTTATCTGACATACAAATAAGAACATATATAAAGAGACATTAAATGCTTATATCAAGATCCAGTCTACTTATCTGGTGTGTCCACTAATGCTTAGGTATATGTCTCTAAGAAGTTGCAGGGGTACAGATTTTAAGGCCCTCCTCAAATATTTCAGTTTGGGTTTACATTTTTCCAAAGGAGACTTCCATTAATAAAATTAATTTTTAATTCCTTTCCTTTCCTTCTTGGTGTAAAGGCTGTTTGAGCAATAGTTTTCTCAACCTACATTTCCAGTGTTTGGCTATGATCAAATAATCATAGGTGTTGTCACAAGTTTTCTGAAATTCAGCCAATATAACCTTTAGACAATTTTGCAAATATTTGGTGCACGGATTTTATTGTGCATATCACAGTTAGGAGTGCAGAGATCTAATCTAAAGTTTTAATAATGTTTATGAAAAACTGGTTTCAGTTTAGTATTTTACAGCATTTTACTCAGCTGCAGGTTACCTATGCAACAAAAGATAATTCCATAGAAACGTGCATCCATCGTTGATATGGGAAAGACAGAATATCAGGAGTAAAACTTAATAACATTTTATGAATTTTTTTCAAAGGAAAAGATTACAAAGTAGCCTACTGCTTTCTGCCATTTCTTCCTCTCTTTTCTATTTGATGGTATCAGGACGAATTTCTGTTTTTTATTTTATTATCTGAAGAGGTTGACGTCATTCTCTTAATTTTTACATCGTGTTCTTCAACACGCAGATATATGCTTCCTCACATAATGACTCCTTGTCAGAACATACACTGTTTAGGGGAAGAAAAAATTTCATGATTTAAGAAGTGTTTTTAAAGAAGTTTTAGATTTTGAATCCTTTCACACTGCATCCTTGTTAATGAGCTTCAATTTGTGCCACTGTATGCATTCTTTTTCTTTTTTTAACATGCAAATACTTCTTATTAAATGGTGAATGAGGGAAATAAGGCAGCTGATATTGCAGAGGTTTGAGTCTACTGATGGCTTCCAATTTGTAATTTGGCAATCAAGATTTTGCATAGGTGAATTTTATATCACATTTAAGAATGCACACTTACACACATAAGCAACTGATAATGCCATGTGCACTTAGATCAGCAATCACTAGCTTTGGTAGCAGTGATACTGAACATAAATGATGATGACAAATAATAACCAGAGCTTATTAATCACCAGGGGCTCTTGGAAGCTTTCCCTATGTCAGTTCACTTAGTACTCCTAATAACCCTATGGGCTATTATACCTATTTTGCAGATGACAGATTGAGGTTAAAGAGATTAAATAATTTCCCAAGATCACCTGCAATGCAGGTGGGTCGTGCCCTGCACTGCATGCACTGTCTTTCTTGACTTGGCCAACAGCAACTCATACAGTGGACCCTTGACTTACGAACTCAATTCGTTCCCAAGGGCTCATTGTAACTCAGGTTGGTCAACCGAAAGCTCAGACTCATCTATACAAGCTTCAAAGTCTCTCTCCTGGATCCAAGCAGATCTCAGTGTCCTTAGACACTGGCCCAGGGTTTCTCAATTAACCCCACACAGGAAAAGATGCCGTAATATTCCTTCCAGAGCTCTTTAAGGCTTAAATTTGAGACCATCTAGAAGCACAAGCGGCTAGCATTCAGGTCATTACTCAATACTTTGTTAGCAAGTCAAAACTAAAATTCTGATTGCAATTCAAGTTGTTCATATGTCAGGCCAGTCGTAACTCGATGGTTCACTGTACTGGGAATTTGCTACAAGACAGGAACTGCTCAGTGTATATTTGTTTCCTTATTCAGCCTTGTGAAGGAGTGCTATTATCATTTCTCTTCAAATTGTAGAGATAAGGAAATCAAAGCAAACTGTCTACTACCACAGCTGGTATAGAACGAGGATTCCAAGCCCAGACATCTGGCTCCAGTGTCCATAATACACAGTCTCTCAGGGATTTCACAGTGATTAGAAATCTTTCATTTTAGACTTGAATGTGAACACCCATTCTAATGTTCCAGGGACAAGAGATACAGAACACTGATCTACACACATCATGCCCCACCAGAGATAGCTCTTTATTTTAAAGGTATAGAATAAGACAAAGATTTGTCTTCAATTGGCACCTTTTCTCTGAAAGCTCAAAATATTAGGGGACATAAACTCATCCAGCTGACACTCACAAAAAGCTCCAAGAGAAGGCTACAGGATGACTGATGACAACAGTATAATTGAAATGCACCAAGCAAAGAGAATGGAGGCCAAAAGTGGTCCTGAGTCAGCCACTGGTGATACTTCATCATGTGCATTTCATTTTCGTGTCTCCCTCTTTTCTGTCTCCTACTTTCCTCCTTTCCCTTGGTTTCCTAGATCTGCCCAGAATCCTCAAGATTGACGTTTAGTGGTTCCTGCACAGTTTGCTGACACTTGCTCTAAAAAAATGGCACACCTGAAATGAGCACTGGTCTTCAAACGGAGACACAGTTAGACTCAGGCAACAGGATTGAAGTGAACCAAAAGAACAGAAAGGAGATCCTATATTTCTGGCTCTCCTTTTATCTTTTATTTTCAATCTTTATGGGTTGTAAGTTTAAGGAGATTTTTTTTTTTTTGAGACAGGTTCTCACTATGTAGTTGAGAATGACCTGGAACTCACTATGTAGGTCAGACTGGTCTCAAACTCACAGCGATCCTCCCGCCTCAGCCTCCTGAGTGCTGGGATTACAGGCGTGCACCACCATATCCGGCAAGGAGAATTTTGTTCTATAGATGCTTCTGTTAGTCTTTTAAAGTTATTTTATGAGTAAGACAGAATTGGGGGTGGGGGAGGTGGGAGAGGTAGCTCGATGGTAAAATGTTTGCTTAGCATGTGCAAGGCCCTGGGTTTGAGCTCTAGCATTGCAAAACATAGGACTTTTTAAAGATGAAGCTTAATATAAATAAATTATGACAGGTAATAGAATAACCATAGGTCATTTAATGTATATTTTGAAAACATTAAGAAATTAATGTAAATATAAAACATTAAAATACAAATTTAAATTTTAAAAAATTAAAGTAAATACTAATGATATTTATAAGAGCTTAGATAAATGTGTTTTCAGATATTGTAATATTGTAGTTTAGGAGGTGACCACAGTATTCCTGGTAGCACTAAATCATGGTGCTACATCCCCTGGGATGGGAAAGTAACATGGAAGACAGAAAGCAAAAACACTGTCCTACAGCAAATTTCCAGCACAGTGGGCCTTCAAGTTACGACTGGCCTGACATACAAACAACTTGAGTTGCAATCAGAATTTTAGTTTTAAACACTTTCAACAGGCAGTCTAATAACAATAAAGCAGGAATGCTTCTCAAAGGCACTGAAGAATACTGATTTATGAGAGGAAAGCATTTTGAAAATGTTCCCTCTTTAATCTATACTTTGAATTATTCACAAGAAAAAAAGTGTGAGACACAATAAAGGAGGATGTAAGGTAACTTCAGCCACCTCTCAGAACTAGACTTACCCTACATGACAATGCCAAAAGAGGATGCCCTTTTATTTTTCTTCTGAAATTCTAAGAAATAATTACAAGAATAAACCCCCAATAGAACTTGACAAATGTTTGCTAATTAACTAGTACCCTTCATGACCCAAATTCAGAAATTCCAAAAGGCACCTAAAAGAACCAGTGTGTTTCATTCATTTCTATATCCACTTCACGTAACTTTTCTTGTTTTTATATTTATTTTTGTTTCCAGAAAAATAATACAATTTTATCAAGAAATTAAGAATCTAGGTCCAGAGAAATGTACTTGGACAGATTATTTTCAATGCAAAACCTTAATCAAGTCAAGGACAAAAAACAAAAAGTCCCAAGCACGCCAGGTTGTCTACCACTTTCTAAATATTCTAAAACAATATTGATGTCCATAGGTGGTGTTCAAGGCAACATTAGAAGGAAGGTTGAGATTCTATAGAACCTCCAACAGTGGGGAAAAAAAATGTCATGGAAGTCCATGATGTGAACTTCCTAGGATCCCCAACTCATCTGTCAACCGTTAGTGTACATATTTGGTTTGCTTACAAATCAAACTAGAATATAATCAACTTAAAGTAGCATTCACCCAGGGTGACTCTCGAAGGTTCTTCATACCTTAGTCTCTGTGGGATTCATACTGGAAGGCTTGCTAGTTGCTCCAGAGGCCGACATCTAAAAAGAAAAGAACAAAAGAGAGATGCTGAGTGTTTTTAACCTTCGATCTACATTGTCCAACCTCTTCTATATCACCTGTCCTTAATTTTGCACCTTGATTTTACCTAGTTTATAGCACTACACCCACAAAAATCCACTAAATGGCGTTGCCCAGTATGTGAAAGTTTTTGTAATGAGATCAACTGGGTTCAAATTTGGGTTTTATTTTCACTAGATAATATTGGCAAGTTACTTAAATTTTCTGATCTCTAGTCTGTCACCCTCAGTTGTGCTCCAGTAGAGAACATAGACCTTGCAAGTTTATTATAAGACACTGTATGGTATATAACAGCTTGGTAAATGTTATTATAACTATTGTTAATGTTTTTTTAAAAGAAAAATGGACTTTACAATGACAAAACTTTGTTTAAATCCGAGCTTTGCCTATTACTAGCTCTGTGAGTGTGAGCTGTTTTCCTGATTAATAAAATGGGTCAATAATGTCCATTTTGGAGGTCTATAAGAATTTGCACTACCGTGTGTAAAATGCTTGACGCACCATGTTTATTAAATTACTAGCATATATTCTAACATATTATGCAAAACACATAAGGGACAAGGACAAACTTCAGGAAATAGATCTGAGGGGCAGAAATTGTCCTTTCAGTTCCATAGGATAAAGCTGAGTGACAGGGTACAGAGGAAATTGTGCTGTATTACGTCTTATAGTGGGTCTTCCCTGGAGAGGGGGAAATAACCCACAGTAGTAGTGCTCAAGGAACGGCCTTCTTAGGGACATGGGGTGAGGGTGGGCTGGGGGCGGAGTCCCGCAGGCTAATCACCTAAGCCATGGTAACACCTGTGTCTGTGGATCCTTGCACAGTACTGAATACAGTACTATTCTAGAATGTCACCTATCTTGATTGATAGTAACCTATCTGGTTGATAGGTTAGACACTATCATCTTTGCCAATCCCCACCCAGGCTCACATTTGAGTCCGTTATCTCAGGGATTCCATCTGGCTGGAGGAGCCTTCTTAAGCAACCAGCTGTCAGTTAACAGCTGCTGTCCTGCCACCAAAACCCGGAAAAGCCTGTAACGTGAACTCCACTCTGTCTCTAATTCCTGGCCCTGAGCCACTTCAGAACTGAGTCAGGAGGCAGTAAAAACCCATCTCTGCTCCTCCCTTACCTTCCCCCACCCACCATACTAGCACTCAAGGTACAGCCAGTACAGCCCATGGCCTATGACCAAATCACCTTCTCCACAGATCTCAGCTTATGTGGAATATACTGACGGTTATAGTTAAATTACCGTGATTTACAGATACAGTTGGTTTTATCACACGGGAACTGACCTCTTCCTGAGCACCCTTAGGCACCAATGAGGCACACCCTCACCAAACCCACACTCGCACATGCATCCGTGCTCTCCCCAGCTTATGCCAAACCTCTGCTCACCGTAGCAGCTTTTCTTACTCTCTTTGGGAATGTGCCAAGGTAGATTTTCCCCACCACTAAATTAAATTAATGGGCAAAAATGTGAAGCTCCACTATTTCCTTGAGATTACAATTTGTGGTGACTAAAAACACCTGCATATAGAAATAGATAGATAGACAAATAGATAGTCTTTCCACAATTAGAATTAGTTGTACAAATTTCCATCCAAACTCAAGAAGTTCTACTTTGCTCATCCCACTTACTCATCAAACATATAAAACCATCATAGAAGCCAAGCATTCCACATGAAAGTGCTTTTTAAACTGAAAATCTAATCTCTAGATAAACGTTAATGTATTATAGGCACCCAAATTTATTAAAACACTTGTAAAATCATATGGGCTTGAATTGCCCATCCTGCCTTATTACTTTATTAAACAATACCTGGAAGTGAGCATGAAATTCTAGAAAGAACTTTCAAAGGCCAACCAAGGACGGTGAAATCTATACGTATAAACACGGAACGAGGTGCAATGGGAGTCTAGCCGAGGCTGTTCTCAGCACAGATTCTGCCATACACGTTTGTCCCACACAAAGTATGAAGCAGTATGAAACTGGAATATGAAGCTGACTCATGGGGGCTGGAAACAAGGGTAATGATCCTACTCTACTGTTAACCTATTCAACTCCAGCCTCTTTTTTTTTTTTTTTTTTTTGGTACCAGGAATCGAACTCAGAACGTGGCGCTTATGAGGCAGGTGTGGTGCCACTGAGCTAAATCCTCAGCCTAGTCCATTGATTTTTGAAGAGGAAGAATCTTAGCAATAACTTTTATTATACAGGTTTTAAGCAGATGGGGAAAGTGACTCATGTTCAAGGTTCACCGCAGTCCACTGGCTCCACATGATTTATCCGGAACACAGTTTGTGCCAGGTTCTGTGCTACCTGCTGGGCATGTTCCTGACCTTGTGAGAGGTATCAACTGGTAGGAGATGACGGTAAAAAATCGCTCCAACAATTACTTGTTATAAAAATAAAATCACCAGCCGCAGAAAAAATGCAGATTAGGGAACCAGAGCTAGTGTGAGCCACGCCTACAACAGGTGATGCTGACTTACAGGTGATGTGCGGCTTACATGTGAGCAAAGGATGAAGGGGCATTACTCAGGCAGAAGGCCAGGGCGGGGCAGTGCATGCCCAAGGACCCTCCGAGCTGTGTCTTGGACAAGCACTGGGACTCGGACCATTTGATGTCTAAGCCAGTGGCCTTCTACTACCCTGTCTCTCATTCAGCTGCTCCTGCTCACATCAGGGCTGCTAGGTTTTAAAGCACTGTCATCAGTGTTCATATCCTAAGCAATCAGCACGGTAATTCTGACCAAAGTGCAGCTGCTACGGCACTTTCCTTCCCAAAGGGCCCAGGCAAATTCCTTAATATCCAGAGTTCTATCAATCATTTCTAAATTTGAATTGAGACAGACGTGAATCATAGTAACAAGGAGCAGGGAAGGGTGCCTCAATGAGTCACTCTCCATTCAAAAGGGGGAAAAAAAAAAAGCCATGAGCTAGGGGTTTCGAATACGCGGTGAATAAAATACAGCTATGGCCTTGCAGAGTCCAGGGAGACAAACACACATCAAGTAAGTTTAGAGAACCACTGCGGCTGTCTACTGGAGGCAGGAAGCAGTCTCGGGGTAAACAAATGGCTGAGTTCAAAGTTTTTCAGGCCCATCTCAGGCAACCTTGCTATAGTGTCAAGATTCAGTGAAACAGGGCCCCGGATTTAGCTCAGGGGTTCTGCCGCCTGCCTCACGAGCGCCAGGACCCAAGTTCGATACCCAGTAACCTCCCTCCAAAAAAAAAAAAAGAGTGAAAAAGATTCAGTAAAACAAAACAATACTGATAGGAGACTAGTGGCAGTCTAGAAAAAAATAATTTAATTCTGTGCTTCACCAACACGTCTTATTTTCTTGAATAATTAATACAATATCTTTAAGTTTGCTTATTTTCTACAGGAAGAACTTTGGAAGTGTGTCATAATAGAGGTGTAAGGATAAGATGATACACTTTAAGATACGTGGAAAATGCAAATGGCTTTCTTTTTTTCCACCCACATTTTTAAAAGGTCTCCTAGACTCCAGACTCAGCTCTCCAATCCATTCTGAGATTAATCTTCACTCATGCCATTCTTTTCCGTATTTCACCCTAAACTAGAACCAGCAATGACTTTTGTTGTCCACAGAAAAGCACAGAAATCCTTTCTCTTGTAAAGCACCCCAGTTTCCATTATTAACCTCGCAGCCTGATGCAGAACCTCCAGTCCAGACAGCCAACCCGTTCCCACTCATCTTTCCAACTATATTTTTCATACAAATGTCACTGGCTGGTATGCTTCTCCCCCAGAGTACCCAAATGCCATGTGCTCTTTCCTTAAAGTATGTCTCACCAGCTCCTAGCCTGACATCATAACTTCTGCATACCTCCGGCCAATACTCCTGGGCAGGACGAGCTCACTGCTCCTAGCACCTCATGAAGCTCTGTGAATGAGTGACCTCCTCCACCAGCGTGGCCCCTTTTGAAAGAGCTGCCTATTGAGCATGCATGCCGACCTCCAGTTTTCTCTCCTGCTGGTCTCTATTCAGGGTTTTTCCATGCATCTGCAGGGTGTCTATGAGACAGTCTCAAGAGAAGCAAGACCTAGGGACAATTTTAACCTCTTGCAAAGCTGGATGGGAGTGGGGAGGGTTCTGAGCTCTCCCTTGCAGGACCTGGGAAATGGACCAAGGCAGGAGGGTAGAGTTTCCATAGAAGTGGGCTCCTAGAATGCCTACACATCTATTCTGTTGCCATTAACCAATCGATGGAAATCGCATTCCCTCAGCTCTTTACCTCCCTATCACAGCGCTAAGTCCTTTCATTTCTTGCATGGTTCCTAAAAGACTTTCAGCTTCTTTCCAGGCAGTTCCAGCTGGTTCATTGGAGTTCTCACTACCTTGTGTCCAGCCCCTCAGTCTCGCCTCGATCACACCCCTGGTCTCCAGGTAGCTTGGCCGAGAAAATGTACAAAGAGCGTAGCCTCAAGCGCATCAGCATTTCACTTTCTCATGCCAGGCCTTGCTTCCTTTCCCCACACCATCCCTGGCAGCAATCCCGGATCCTCTTTCATGCACCTGGGTGTACCTTTATTTGTGGAGGGTTGCTAAGAACGCCAGGCTGACTGTGTGGACTCTACTCTCCCAGTTGATAATCCATCAGCAGTTTCTCCGTGAATCACTGACTGCTTTCTCTCCCCTCGTTGGCTCCTGGGGCAGTAGGAGGAGTCCCGGGGTCTCTCACTATAGCCCTGCCTTGTTGGTTTCTGGAAACTTTTCCCACTTATTATATTCTTCTCCATATTCTTTACAGACACAAACACTCACACGCACACACACACACACACAAACGGTCACTCACACATTCTACTGGTGCATATTGGTTATACAGATGAACAGGTATCGTTTTGGGGGATTTCAAGGTGTATAATGTGCTTTGATCACACTCGGACCTCTATTACCTGCCTTTACACTTACTCCTCTTC